CACACATTACAGGCTGGAAGCAGGACTATATTCTAAGCGGATACCAGTTGAACAGATGACTTGAGTCTCCAGGGATTCATCTGTTACACCCACAGTGGCAGAGCTCTTGTGTGACCTGGAAAAAGGGGCGTGCCATGCTGGAAAGCTAACTTCCAATATCTGGGCAAGGCTGTGAAATGTGGAGAGGTTGGAGCGAGCCTCGGGGTGTAGCTGACCCCTCCTGGATGTCCCACCCTACTTCATTCTTCTCTTTTGCCTGGGGCTGAGTCTCACTCCTTTGTGATAGGTTCTTAACACTCCCTGCTTCAAGTGACTGTTACACGTTTTCATCTTCTGTCTACCCAGATTTGGAAAGTGAGATAAAAGAAATAACCGACCCTAGGGAGAAACCCAAGAAAGAAAGAAATAGATGTAAGTCAGAGTCATAATTTTCAGATCTAGAAAAGCAAGTTACTCAGAGTAATTCACACATCATTGAGAGACCAATTAGAACCATTAGCAAGTTGTTAGCACTGACTTTAAACTACCTACTCTGATGTAGCCCCAACCATTCTGAAGGGGCTGTGTGGTGTCACTAGAATCAACTAGTATAAACATACCTGTACATAAACAACCCTCAATCCACAACCGTTTGTTGGGTGCTTTACCTCTCTGTGCATTGTGGTCCCTCCCCAAAGGAAGATTTCAATGCACACACTCACACAACTATTTGGTCTCAAACAACTAGCTACTGGTCTTGATGGTGGAGCTAACATAAAAGATGTGGAAGGTCCCCAGCAGCGTAAGATTGTGAAATTTCAGCAAGGGAGGAAGACTATGGTCATACAAAAGTTCAGAGATCCAAGGCTAGGGTTGCTCAGTTATGCCTCCCTTTAGGCCTTAGACTGGGAGCCTCGCCTTGAAGGATGAGTAAAAGTGAAGCAAAAAAGTGGAGGAGATTGAAGAGAAAATATATTTCTAACAGAATGTGGGCTCTGGCATCTGACTAGTGAGAACCAATCTTGGCTTTTACCACTTGGCCTTGCAATCATTACTTTATCCCTACTTTCCCACCCACATCTGCGTGGGAATGATGAGAACAGTAGGATCTGATTGCATTGTTGGGGAAGATGAAGTGAGTCAGTTCACATACATTATGATTTACATGATGCCTGGTATATACAGCAGACAATCAGTGTTAGCTGTTACGGCATGGAGCAAATACAAATAAAGCACATTTCAGAGCAGTACTTACTTTAGGATCACTTGTTTCTGACTAATCCTGCCAAAGCTACTTTTAACTTGATTATTCAGAAAAATTAACCTGATTAGAACCTTTTAAAAACAAATCATATAAAATGAATTCATGCTGATCAATATGAGATATTATAGGAGGTGGTATATATAGTATTTACTACTTTTTTTCCCCAATCAACCTTCATTTTCCTTGGTTTCCCTTTTATAGTCAAGTTCAATTTTTTTTAAGATTTATTTATTTATGATAGACAGAGAGAGAGAGAGAGAGAGAGAGAGAGGCAGAGACACAGGAGGAGGAAGAAGCAGGCTCCAAGCCGGGAGCCCGACGTGGGACTCGATCCCGGGACTCCAGGATTGCGCCCTGGGCCAAAGGCAGGCGCTAAACTGCTGAGCCACCCAGGGATCCCCTCCCTTTTATAGTCAATAGGAAAAGGAATCTATATGTCTGAGCTTGGGCTGCTATAACAAAATGCCACAACTGGGTGACTTAAACTCCAGATGGTTATTTCTCACAGTCCTGGAGGCTAAAGACTGAGAACAGGGTGCCAGCATGGTCAGGTTCTTGGGGATGACCGCTTTCCCAGCTTCCATTTCCAGATGGCTTTGTCGTGGGTGGCATGGGGTCAGGGAGAGTTCTATATTCTCTTCATATAAGGGTGCTAATCTCATCATGAGGACCTCACCCTCATGACCTCACCTCCCAAAGCTGTAATAGCATGACACAGGTTAGGGCTTCAACACAGGAACTTGGTGGGGGGGTGGGGTTGGGGATATAAACATTCAATCTATTTAAAAGAAAAATAAGAAACAAAAAATTCCAACTTATTTGTTGTGAATGGTCTTATAGTGCCAAGTATGTATAAGTTAAAGCTTCAGGAATAAAATAAAGTTAATTATAATAGTAGGGACTTTGACGTTTAAAAATGCAAATTTTCTGAGCAATAAGGATATCAGTTTTCTTTGAAAGTTACAGTGAGACGTGAAGATATGGAACTTAGAGATTCTGGTGGGGTGGGAGGGCAAAGAGGTGATGATTTTATCACTTGTAATCAGAGGGGATAATCATGTTTTTCATTATTTTTATATGTTTATAGTTATCTTAATAATTATGAATAGCTAGAGATTATTCAGTAATAAAATGTCTAGTAGATTTAGCTTGTGCTGACCAAACACGTTTGCATGGTTTGCACTGCATGCCTGCCTCTCTGGCTCCCAGTGCCCCCTCCTGCCTACCCTCCTCTGCCTTCCTATTGTGCTCCTCTGCAGATCTTGCCAAGAGCAAGGTCCCACTGTCCCCACAGTCCCACTGTGTCTCCCATGACGCTCTGCAAGAAGTGTGTGTGTGTGTGTGTGTGTGTGTGTGGTGAGTCTCTATTCTTGCATCCTCCAGATGTGGTGGGGAGGAGGGATTTAGGAGAGGTGTCCCTGGGATCCCAGGTGAAAGGAAGAATGAGTTTTCTCACTAAAACAATGTTTAGCAAAGCAGTTAATTTCTACAAAAATTACAGCACCAAAGAGTGTTTACTAAAAAAGCTAAAAGGAGCTTAAGTTTCCTGACCCCCTCATTTTACATGAACACTTCTAAGGGGTTTCTGTACTTTTGATTTTCTATGGCTAGAACACCTGGCTGCCCAAATTGTGCTTCTAGCCCTATTAAACCTGGATTGTTTCTGGTCGACACTATCATTTCATTACAGATTCCCTCCACGGACTACTTGCAGACTATCCTGAGAACCTCACTACCATATATAATGTCTATTGAAAAACACACACTTAACATACAACCTGTTCTCTGCCCTAGGAAGTTATCTAGGGCAGTTGTCTATCCCTCAAGGGATAGAATTCAACACGGATCAACATTTATAGAGTTGGTTCGTTTAGTGTGGTCTGTGTAGATGAGGGATGGAGGTGGGGGAAGTGTGCACAGAAAAAGCTTGTTACCCTTAAGGATTCATTCTTTTACATAGATACACACACACATCTTAATCATCATCTATTTCTTTCATTTTGGGCCATTTAGGCATGGCCCAAAAACCCCAGAAAAGGGTTGACTACATTTGCATAAACCCAGCAGATGGATCCCTCCCCCAACTTTAAGAAATAATGCAAAGATTAAAAAAAAAAGTCTACCAGATTTGGGGTTAAACTACACATCTGAAATAACAGCTCGTATTTCTTGAGTTCTTACCATGTGTCATTTTGCAAAGTGTTTTACACGCACTGGCACCTCGTTTTATTTTCTTCTTACTTTCACAACAAGCCGATGAGGTAGGAGCCAGTATCATCAATCCCATTTTACAGCTGAGGAAGGGAAGGCTAACAGAAATGAGGTGGGTTGCCTAGGGTGATAGAGATGGTGGCTGGCAGTGCCTGATTGGAATCCTAATTTGCCTCGTCTCCCTTCTTAACCATTCCTCTTCAGACTACAGAGAATCCTGGTTCCCAGGAGACAAATGAACTAGAATATGGATCATTTAAAAGAACAGAACACAAGCAGATTTTCAAAAACAACCTGATATCAGCCTTTTAAATTGATAAAGAGGAAGCACTGGAAAATCCTTTTTTTTTTTTTCCCTCCCCAAAAAGGCTGACCTCCCCAGCCACTCTGGGTGGTTATGAACTCATTTCATCACACTAAATCACGAATTTGCCTTTCAATTAAAGTGTCTCATCACTGTCAAGGCTCTGACGTGTCCTTTCCCAATGTCCAACTTCATCTTGGTGTAAAGAGACACGATTCGGTTGGTTCGTGTGTAATCCACAAAGACCCAGGGGGGTATCTTTTGCCCCTATTGTTTTCTTGGGTGTCCTCACTCCGGAGGCCAGGCATTCCTCACGTGTCTGGGGCAATGCAGCAGCAGCAGCAGCAGCAGCAGCGAGGAGCCCAGAAGCTGCACAAAAGACGTCCGACCGCTATCAATGTGAAAGATCAATTCAGGGCTCGCACGAGAGACCCAAGATGACCGGGAAGAGGGGGGAAAACAAAACAAAGCAAAACAAAAAAAAAACCTTCTCCCAGAGGGTGGGAAACTGGGGGACGTCTTGTGAGTGCCCGCAGAGACCTGAACGGATAAAGTAGTGACTGCGACCTTTCGGGACCCTCACCCCCGCCCCCCACCCCGGGAGGCGCCCGGCCCGTGCGGCCTCCGCCCTGGTCGTCCCCCGAGGCCGAGAAGGGCGGGGAAGGGGAGCGGGGCGCGAAGTCTCCGGCCGGGGCCCCGAGGCGCACCGCTGTCCCCCCCCCCCCCAGAGCCGCCTCCACCGGGTCACCTGGGCTCCAGGGCAGGGTGGGGGCGGCTCTGCGGCGCTCCAGCGGGGAGGGGAGCGCGCGGCGCGCCCAGGGTGCCCGCGGCCCTCCCTCCGAGCGCTCCCGGCGGGCGCGGCCCCGCGGCGGGCGGGCGGGCTCTAGCGCGGAGCTGGGCCCCCGGCCGGGAGCTGCCCCGCACGCCCGCGCCTCCCCGCGGGTGGCAGGGTCCGCACGCGCGCAGCGCCCCCGCCGGGGCCTCCCGTCCCGCGCCCCCGCGCCCCCGCGCCCCCGCGCACGCGCACAGACACACGCACGCACACGCACACACACGCACGCTCGCGCGCACAGCTCCGCGCAGCCCTCCCCTCCCCCTCCCCCCCCGCAGCCCCGCGCGCCCCGCGGCCTCGGCAGGCTCCTCCCCCGGGGGGCGGGGCGCGGCCGCGCGCGGGGGCGTGGCCGGCGGCGGGGCGTGGCCTGCTGCCCCCGCCCCCCGCGTGAGTGACTGGGCGAGGAGCGCCCCTCCCCGCCTGCCTCCAGCGCCGCCGGGCGGTCCCCTCCCTCGCCCGCTCGCAGCCCGCTCCCGCTCGCTCCCTGCCCACTCCCGGGGGGACGCTCCGCGCCGCGGCCCCGCGGCCGCCGCTTCTTTCACACTTTAGTTGGGAGCCGCGCGCCGCGCTCAGCGACCGGAGAGCTGGCCGCGCGCCGTGGCCTCCCGCACGCACGCACGCGGGCCGGGCTCCGGGGCTCTCGGCGCCTACTCGGAGCGGCGGGGAGGAGGGGGACCCCCGGACTCTCGGTGGGGAGGCGGAGGAAGAGGAGAGGAGGGAGGAAGAGACGCGGCGCGGAGGAAAGGGGCGGGGGGCGGGAGGCTTGCCACCTTCAGCCCCCCCGCGAGCGCCCAAGGTAAGCGAGGCCCCCCGGAGGGCAGCCCCGGCGGGCAGGGAGGGAGGCCTGCGGGCATCCGCCGCGCGGGAGGGATGGGAGCCGCGGAGGGGGCGCTGCGGGCGCGGGGCCGCGGCTGCCGGTGCGGGGACGGAGGCTGGGGTGGGGGCGCCTGCTCGCCGGGCGGAGGGGCTGGGATGCGGTCGGGGCCGCTGACGACTTTCGTCACATCGAGGCCTGGGTGGCTGGTGCGAGACACCCCTCCCTGCCACCCGCTCCCCCTGCCGCTCTCCGCCCGCCCGCCCGCCCGCCCGCCCGCTCCTCTCGAGCTTTGCATGCAGCCGCCGTACTTTGCAAGCCAGAGCTTGAAAGAAAAGGAAAAAAAAAAAAAAAAAAAAAGCAACGAAACCCCAAAACCAAAACAAACAACAACAACAACGAAACAGATCTCAGAATCCTTCACTAAGTCTTCCGAGTCCCTTCTCCCGCTCGGACTGACCGATCGATGTGTTTGGGTGGGTGTTGGGATCCCCCGGGATTTCGGAAGTTTTGACCTTTTGGGGGTGGCTGGTCTCGGTGCATCTGTTTGCCCACCTCGGTGTGTTTATTTATTATTCGTGCCCATGCGAGGCAGCAGCAGAGGGTGCTTGGGTATTGTGCACGGAGGAGATTTCACTCTCCTCTGCAGGCAGTTCGCGAAGTCTCTCGGCTGCTGTCCTCCTGGATCATCCATCCTCCCTGCCTCCTCCCTCTCCGGAGGGATTTTTCCCCCCACCCCCCCCCACCCCCGCCCCTACCACTTACTGTTTGTGTGAGAGAAGTCCCTGGGCTTGAGGGCTCTCATCTCCCATTCATTCCTCTTCTAAAAGCCCTGAATTGGCTCAGGCACATTGGTCAAATTTGAGGTGAGGTTTTTTTTTTTTTTTTTTTTTTTGCTCCAGGAGTTACATGGTCAGAGATAAAAATACATACACAGAAACACGCATTAATCCTGAGTGATGACAAACACAGTTGGAGATAGAAGTGATTTGTTTCAGTGGGAAGCCTACCTCTGTATAAGGTATCTTCCAATCGCGTGTGGGTTAGGAAATTTGTTTTAAAATAGATAGTGCTTGTGTTGTGTGTGTGGCTGGAAGACAGCCGTAAGTTCAGCTATTGGAGCAACTCTGAAAGTGATACACCCTGATTATCCAGAACCTTGGTTGAAGACATACACAGGCTCTGACTCAGACGTTGGGAGGGGGGCTGACACACCATAGATTCCATGAGACACTTTTTTTTTTTTTTTTTTAAGGAAACATTATGGACCGTTTGGGGAAGTGGCATGTTCATTTTACACTGAGAGAGGTTATGAAAACCTTCCTACTCAAGGGGGTGGACTCACCTTTCACCTAATAATAACCTTTCAGTTTGGTAGAGTTGGAATGTACCAGGGTAGAAGAAAACCAAGGGTAATGTGGGTCTGAGCTATTTCGCTCTCCTAGGGGGAGGTGATGTTTCTGAAGGGGTTTTCAGCCCAGGATGCTCAATTTGGGGGCTTTTCTCCCCTCTTTCGTACTTCTAGAGCCGGATTGTAGGGCCAATAGGACGTGTTCTGTGTTGGCTCTTTGGGAAATACAATTGAACAGACATGGAAATTAATTTAGACCAGATCCCCTGTTTTTGTTTTGCCCCTTGTGAAGTGTCGTTGATGAGACATCTGAGTGTATTTATCTGAGGTGGACCAGCACTTTCACTGACCACAAAATGCAGCACTGAAATGTCATCTCCACTCGTGTTTCTTACTGGGCAGATGGGATTTAAGAGAACAGTTCTAGAGGGCTGCTGGGCAAAGCAGCAGAGACAAGCAAACTTAAGCTCTTGGATCAGTCGATGCCCGAGGAGGAGTGGGTGCTTCTGCTGTCAGGCTCACCTCCATTGGAGCATATGCCCCAAGAAAAATGGCCTTGGTTAATGGGGGAAGTCTTCTATCCAATGTTAAAAGTTCATCCTGGGAGAACCCTGAGGTTCTAGCTTCCCTCTGCAGCACTGACTCATTTTCACTCTTGGAGAGAACTGATCATTTTTGTTTTCTTGGCTGGTAATTTATCCACCACCCCTTTCTCCCTATCTCATTTTATCATCTAACATGGATTTCTGGGAATTAATAGGCCACTGTTTGAAGTGGTTTGAGCTTCTTGAAGAATCACAGGGTGCAAATCAAGAGCTTGTTCGTTAATTGGTACTACTTGCTGTGACTGATTAAAAAAATCCTACCGAGGAGGAAGGTGGTTTGGCCGATTAGGAGTATCATTTCCAGGCAGATGGTGCCTCATCGTTGTGCTGGGTTTTCCGCCCGGCAAGCCTTGACTGTTACGTTTCCAGTGGCTTGCTCCAGGCTCTTCATGGCCGGCCCTCTTGCTACTGGCTATTTTCTCTCAAGAGAATGAGACACCCTAGGCTGGGAGATGGAGTGTCATGGCACCTCCCAGGAGGTCAGAAGCAGGACAGGGCAGGGACTCAATCACAGGGCAGGGGGGTAAGGGGTTGGGGGTGGGGTCCTGAGTGTGATAAATATCCCCGGCTTCCCTGGAACTTATCAGTACAACTTGGGGCTGCTTGAGGCACAGACTAGTGTATTTAGGGCCACTTTATGGTCCTTCTTTGGAATTTCAGAAGTCCCATAGCATGGGAGAGGTAAATGTTGTGATTAATTAAGTTCTTGTTAAAACATGAAAAACAGATCGCAATAGACCAGGATAACATACTGCTTGGAAAACTGAGAAGACATGGGTAGGGCCTGTCTGCAGGGAGAATTGCAACACTGAAACTGTATTTTGGAAATTGGTGACAGTTGTGACTTTAAAAGCTCATAATTCAAGGGCTTATCTAAAGTGGCATGCAAATTATACGTACACATATTTTTAAAGTAGGCAATTATTTAGCTTGACTATCTCAGTTCTGAAGTTTAATTTTACAAGTTACAGTTGCAACAAGAAACAACTTGACCTGTCGTGGTTATGCAATCATGACAAGAGTGGTTGGATGTAAGCTGGGCTAGGATGAACATGGAAATGAATACCCAACAGCGTCCTCAGTCAGCAGGTATTAAGAAGTTTCTTGACTTTTTTTTTTAAGTGAAATGTGTTCCTGGAAAATGTATTTCCTCGGTTGTAGGCCAGGCACAGAATGTAAAGACTGCCTAACATCACCACTTGTAAAAGGAGAGAGAGCTCCCGTCTTCTGCAGTGGGAACAGAAGATGAATTGACCAGGTGTCTGGAAGGCAGGCAGGTTTGGGTCATCTTTGCAAGCCCCACAGTAACCAGCACTACCTTGTACTTGGAAATTACTCAGTGAGTGATTGAATTGAATTAATCTAATTAGTTAAGGTCTGTAATGTGTCAAAAAAAAAAAAAACTCCTTGGAAATACATTAGCTACAGACTGCCATTTCAATAAATCAGTGTGATAGCTTATTAACAGCTCCATATTCAGCCTCTGATAGGGTTTTTAATTGTTGAAGAATATTTGACGGGCAAGTAAACGTACCAAGCGTCATGTCCCCCTCAAATTACTGGAATTTCTACTTAGGGGCATCTTGTTTGGATTATATTGTTGACAAATATTTCTTCCCTCATGAGTGTGACTTATGACCATGGTCTTTACGTTTTTTGTTCAAGGAGTTTGGTGAATAATAACGCATCATATTAATGGGGCGCTTTATGGTTTTCAGAGAACTTTCATGTACCTTGTCTTACTGGACTTTGTGCTGTTACCGTAGCACTCGGGGTTTCCCATGCTGGAATTTCTCCTGGAATGTGCCTGGATCTAGGAGTAGGGGAAAGGGTATGGGGAGGCTCAGGTCGCCCCAGGTCTTGGTTACCAGGTTTTCCCATGGGAGGCTGTAATCACTAGTCACTGCTGCTCCCTCTAAAATAACATGGAAGAAAATAGAGACTTATCTCATGCAGGGAGCTCACCAGGCTCCTGGCATCCTGTGGCTCTGCCCCTTCATCTGTTCTCTCTTCGGGCTGCCTCTTACCTTACTCCTTTGCCCAAATGTCCCTTTCACCTTTTAGTCCTTTCTGGAGCTTTAACATGGCCTTCTGTCTCACAGATTTTCATCCATAAGACCCTCCCGCTTCTTATTCTTCCACCTTACTTTCGCCTGCAAGACTTGAGTATTTGGTGTCTGAATAATCTTGTCCAGGATTTTAACCTTATCTCCAGGCCCACTTTCTCCTTCACTCCGCCCACCTCCCTGTTCAAGTATAGACTTCTGGCTTCTGGGGAGCTTCTTCCTTCTGCCCTCCGGGTCCCTCTACCTTGTCCTACTTTGCCCCACACCTCCCTTATTACTCCCACCCACTTCTCTCCATCAAGCTTTAGATCTTCTAGCACATACCTGCCTGTGCCTGTTTCACAGGCTCATGCCGCTTAGCAGATGCATTTATAGCATTCATGAGTTCAAGTGCACATGCCTTGTGCCTTGTAGAAAAATGGGACTAGAGTACCTGCAAGTTTAGGGATCTTTTTGGCCTTTGTTTTCACTTTTTACTTCAGTATATTTTGGATTTTTTAAGGTTCTTAAGCCACATAATAATAGCTGGAGTACTTCTTTACTTAACTTTTACATATTGTGTTGAATAATAATGGAACAGCGCAATGATTATTGTTATTTTTAAAGATTTGGACAGCAAATGAAAAGCATTCCGAGATTTTCGTAATGGCACCGTTGAAAGGTTTTGCTGTACACCAAAGTTTACCGCCTAATGACAGAACTGGAACAGTTTATTTAATGTCATCTTCACATTACCTTATTTTTTTCTCCTTTGGTTAAATAAATATTACTATAAGTTGAACCAGTTTTTTTCCTCATTTGTTATGGTTTTACTGCTCTCAATGAAAATTTTATAAGCTTACAGGACACATTTATGCCAACTAAGGATTCTTTAGCTAATATTATTAGCTTGTTAACTAATAGGACCTAATATTGTTGGTTTTCCCTGTAAGTTTGTAGCATAGGTCAGCCCCGTCAGTA